ATGGATGGATGGATGATGGATGGATGGATGGAGAACGAGCGCATCGAGAAGGAGAGGATGAGGAGGCTCATGGTGGGACAGCAGGACAGATGGACAACGTTGGGGTGGATGGATGGATGGATGATGGATGGATGGATGGATGGATGGATGGATGGATGGACAGGTTCCTCAGCTGTTTCTCACCTGAGGATGGGGAAGGTTCCCATGGGTTCTTGAGCTGTTCTTCAGATGAGGATGAGGATGGTCCCTGACCTCTCCCCCCCGTCAGGCCGAGGATGAGGAAGGGGATGAGGATGAGGATGATGATGAGGATGGGGATGATGATGGTTCCCATGGGTTCCTGACCCCTTTGCCCCCCCGGGCAGGCTGAGGATGAGGGTGAGGAAGGGGATGAGGATGAGGATGAGGGTGATGATGATGATGAGGCTGAGGATGAGGCTGAGGATGGTCCCTGACCCTCTTCCCCGGCAGGCCGAGGATGAGGAAGGGGATGGGGATGGGGATGAGGATGAGGATGGGGATGAGGATGAGGATGAGGCTGAGGATGAGGATGGTCCCTGACCCTCTCCCCCGCAGGCCGAGGATGAGGAAGGGGATGAGGCTGAGGATGAAGATGAGGCTGAGGAAGGGGATGGGGCTGAGGATGAGGAAGGGGATGGGGATGAGAATCAGGCTGAGGATGATGATGATGATGAGGATGAGGATGGTCCCTGACCCTCTCTCCCGCAGGCCGAGGATGAGGAAGGCGATGAGGATGAGTATGGGGATGATGATGATGATGAGGATGAGGAAGGGGATGGAGCTGAGGCTGAGGATGAGGATGGTCCCTGACCCTCTCCCCTGCAGGCCCAGGATGAGGAAGGGGATGGGGCTGAGGATGAGGATGATGATGGGGATGAGGAAGGGGATGATGATGAGGATGGTCCCTGGTCCCTGACCCCTTCCTCCCCCGCAGACCGAGGATGAGGAAGGGGATGAGGATGAGGATTAGGAAGGGGATGAGAATGATGATGAGGATGAGGATGGTCCCTGACCCCTCTCCCCCCCCGGCAGGCCGAGGATGAGGAAGAGGAAGAGGATGAGGATGAGGAAGGGGATGGGGCTGAGGATGAGGAAGGGGATGGGGCTGATGATGATGATGATGATGAGGGTGAGGATGAGGCTGATGAGGATGATGATGATGAGGATGAGGATGGTCCCTGACCCCTTTGCCCCCCCCACAGGCCGAGGATGAGGAAGGGGATGGGGCTGAGGATGAGGAAGGCGATGGGGCTGAGGATGACGGTGATGATGAGGATGATGATGATGATGAGGATGAGGATGGTCCCTGACCCTTTCCCCCCCCCCAGGCCGAGGATGAGGAAGGGGATGATGATGAGGATGAGGAAGCGGATGGGGCTGAGGATGAGGAAGGGGCTGAGGATGAGGCTGAGGATGAGGATGAGGATGATGATGATGAGGATGAGGATGGTCCCTGACCCCTTCCCCCGCAGGCCGAGGATGAGGAAGGGGATGAGGATGAGTATGGGGATGATGATGATGATGAGGATGAGGATGGTGTCCCTGACCCCTTCCCCCCCCTGGCAGGCCGAGGATGAGGAAGGGGATGAGGATGAGGATGAGGAAGGGGCTGAGGATGAGGATGAGGATGAGGATGGGGATGAGGAAGGGGCTGAGGATGAGGCTGAGGATGAGGATGAGGCTGATGATGATGATGAGGATGAGGATGGTCCCTGACCCCTTTGCCCCCTGGCAGGCCGAGGATGAGGAAGGCTACCGCAAGCTGATTGACCAGAAGAAGGACAAGCGCCTGGCCTACCTGCTGCAGCAGACCGACGAGTACGTGGCCAACCTGACGGAGCTGGTGCGGCAGCACAAGGCGGCCCAGGTGGCCAAGGAGAAGAAGAAGAAGAAGAAGAAGAAGGTGGGGCAAGGGGAGGAAGGCCACGAGGGGGTTTGGAGGCAGAGCCAGGGCTGGGCTGGCCTGGCTGACTTCGTCTCCTTCCTCCTCCTCCTCTTCTTCGTTTCTCTCTTGCTTTCCTTTCTTTTTGTCTCTTCTCTTTCCTTTTCTGCCTTCCAACCTTTTGTCTTCATTTTTTCTTCTCCTCCTCCTCCTCCTCCTTCTCCTTCTTCTCCTCCTCCTTCTTCACCTTCTTCTCCTTCTTCTCCTCCTTCTTCTTCTTCTTCTCCATCTCCATCTTCTTCTTCACCTTCTTCTCCATCTTCTTCTTCATCTTCATCTTCTTCTCCTCCTTCTCCTCGTCCTCCTCCTTCTCCTTCCTCTTCTCCTTCTTCTCCTTCACCACCTTCTTCTCCATCTTCTTCTTCTCCATCTTCTTCTTCTCCATCTTCTTCTTCTTCCCCTCCTTCTTCTCCTTCTTCATCTTCTTCTTCACCACCTTCTTCTTCACCTTCTTCTCCTTCTTCTCCTCCTCCTTCTTCTTCTCCTTCTTCTTCTTCTTCCCCTCCTTTTTCTCCTTCTTCTTCTTCATCTTCTCCTCCTTCTTCACCCTTTTCTCCTTCTTCTTTTTCTTCTCCATCTTCTTCTCCTTCTTCATCTTCTTCTTCACCACCTTCTTCAACTTCTTCTCCTCCTCCTCCTCCTCCTCCTTCTCCTTCTCCTTCTCCTTCTCCTTCTCCTTCTCCTTCTCCTTCCTCTTCTCCTTTTTCTCCTTCACCACCTTCTTCTGCATCTTCTTCTTCTTCCCCTCCTTTTTCTCCATCTTCTTCACCACCTTCTTCTTCACCTCCTTCTCCTTCTCCTCCTCCTCCTCCTCTTCCTCCTTCTTCTTCTTCTTCTCCATCTCCATCTTCTTCTTCTCCTCCTCCTTCTTCTTCTTCTTCTCTTCCCTTTTCTCCATCTTCTTTTTCTCCTTCATCTTCTTCTTCACCACCTTCTTCTTCTTCTCCTTCTCCATCTTTTTCTTCTTCTTCACTTTCTTCTTCTTCTCCTTCTCCTCCTTTCCCTCCATCTTCTTCCTTTTCTCCTCTCCTTTTCTTCCTTCCTTCCCTTCATCTCCTTCCTTTTTTTCTTCTCCTTCCTCTTCCTCTCCTCCTCCTCCCTTTGTCCCCACAGAAGGCCGAGAACGCCGAGGGTCAGGCTCCGGCCATCGGCCCCGATGGGGAGGTGAGTCTGGATTTATCCCAATCCTGGGGGAATTTGGGGAATTTTGGAGAATTCCCAATCCCAATCCCGTCCCGTTCCCAGCCCCTGGATGAGACGAGCCAGATGAGCGACCTCCCGGTGAAGGTGATCCACGTGGAGAGCGGCAAAATCCTGACGGGAACCGACGCGCCCAAGGCCGGGCAGCTGGAGGCCTGGCTGGAGATGAACCCGGGGTAAACTGGGAGCACTGGGAATACTGGGAATGGACCCTGGGTATGCTGGGAGCACTGGGAGGCCTGGCTGGAGATGAACCCGGGGTAACTGGG